CCTGTTTACTGGAGAGTGTAGGAGGACATGCCAAGGGCAGTACCAGGCATATTTGAAAATGAGGGATCAACCTGGTGAAGCTACCAAACAGGACTACTTGTGTGCCAAACGGCATAAGTAGCCAAGTGACAGACAGAGCTAAGTGATTCCACAACCATTGGATCAGATTTAAGCTCTGCAGCCCTGCCACGTTCAGCCGTGAATGATTATGGACGATTAAACAATTCAGTGGAGGAGGAGGTTCCACAAATATCCTCATCCTCTATGATGGAAGAGCCCAGCACATCAGTGCAAAAGATAAGGCTGAAGCAGTTGCAGTAATCTTCATCCAGAAGCGCCAAGTGGGTGATCCATCTTGGCCGCCTCCAGTGGTCCCCAGCATTTCAGATACTAGTCTTCAGCCAGTTTGATTTCCTCCACATGATATCAAGAAATGGTTGGAGGCACTGGATAATGCCAATGCTATGGGCCCTGACCACATTCCAACAATAGTGCTGAAGACTTATGTCCTTGAACTTACCACTCCTTTAGCCAAGCTCTTCCAGTACAGTTGTGACACTGGTACCTACCTGACAGTGTGGAACATTGCCCAGGTCTGTCCTGTCCTGCGGTTGTTGGAGGTCAATCATCTCAGCTCCAGTATATCTCTGCAGGAGTTCATCAGGGTAGTGTCCTAAGCCCAGCATCTGAAGCTGCTTCATCAATGACCTTCCTCCATCATAAGATTAAAAATGAGGATGTTCACTGATCTCATAATTTTCAGCACTATGAGTGACTGTTCGGAAACTGAAGCAATCCATGTTCAAATGCAACAAGATATGGACAATATCCAGGCTTGGGCTGAAAATGGCAAGTAACATTTGTAACACACAAATGCCAGGCCATGACCACCTCCAATAAGAGGCAGCGTAACCACCAGCCCTTGACATTAAATGGTGTTACCATCACTGAATCCCCCACTATTAACATCCTTGGGTTACCATCGATCAGAAACTCAATTGGATTCACTGCATGAACACACTGGCAACAAGAGCAGGTTAGAGGCTAGGAATTCTGCAGTGAGTAACTAACCTCCTGACTCCCCAAAAACCTGTCCACAATCTACAAGGCACTAGTCAGGAGTGTGATGGAATAGTCCCCACTTGCCTGGATGAGTACAGCTTCAACAATAGTCAAGAAGCTTGACACCATCTAGGAGAAAGCAACCGCATGATTGGCACCACATCCACAAGCATCCACTCACTCCACCACCAACGCTCAGAAACGGCAGTAAATACTATCTACAAGATACACTGCAGAAATTCACCAAATATTATTGGACAGCACCTTCCAAATCTATGACAATTTCGTCTAGAAGGGCAAGGGCAACAGATATATGGGAATACCACCCCCTGCAAGCTCCTCTGCAAACCGCTCTATCATCATTCCTTCACTGTCTCTGAGTCAAAATCCTGGAACCCCCTTCCTAAGGGCATTAGGAGTCTACTTACAGCATGTGGACTGCATTGGTTCAAGGAGGCTGTTCATTGCCGCATTCTCAAGGGCTACTTTCGTCATTCACATGCAACTCATTTATATAAATATAGGAGGTATGGTTAGTAAGTTTCCTGATGACACCGAAATCGGTGGCATAGTGGACACTGAAGAAGGTTATCTCCAAGTAAAACAGGACCATGACCAGCTGGGCCAACAAGCCAGGGAGTGGCAGATGGGATAAAATTTAGATAGATGTGAGGTGTTGTATTTTGGTAACGCAAACTAGGCCTGGACTAGTGCACTTAATGGCAGGCCCTCAGTAGTGTTGCCACACAGAGCGATCTAGGAGTGCATGTACATAGTTCCTTGAAAGTGGAGTCGCAGATAGACAGAGTAGTGAAAAAGGCATTTAACAATGCTTGCCTTCATTAGTCAGTGTATTGGGTATAGGAGCTGGGATGTCATGTTGTGGTTGCACAGGACATTGGTAAGGCCACTTTTGGAATACTGTGTACAGTTCTGGTTGCCCTTCTACAGGAAGAATGCTAAACTTGAGAGGGTACAGAAAAGATTTGCAAGGATGTTGCTGGAACTGGAGGATTTGAGTTATAAGGAGAGGGCGAGTAGGAGGGGCTTTTTTCCCTGAAGCGTCAGAGACTGAGGGGTGACCTTATAGAGGTTTATAAAATCATGAGAGCATTGATAAGGTGAAAAGTCCAGGTCTTTTTCATAGGGTGAGGGAGTCCAAACTAGAAAGCATAGGTTTAAGGTGAGAGGGGAAAGATTTCAAAAAGAACGTTTAACCCAGAGGGTGGTGCGTGTTTGGAACAAGCTGCCAGAGGAAGTAGTGGAGGCTGGTACGATTACCACATTTAAAAGGCACCTGGATGGGTATACGAATAGGAAGGATTTAGATTGTTGTGGGCCAAATGCTGCCAGATGGGACGAGGTCAGATTGGGTTGTCTGGTTTTCGCAGATGAGAGTTGGACCAAGAGGTCAATTTCCATTCTGTGACTCGACTGTATAACTGGGGACAGGCCGTAAAATTGCTGGCAGCTAGCAATCACCGGGTCCCAGCAGTGAATGAAACACGAGATTTCTATGATTGGTAGTGTGGCCTTTTGCCATAATGGCAGCATCCTGTTGATGGTGAACAACATTCATGTTGCTATTGCATTGTTGCAGTGTAGAATATCTAACTTCCATCCATTGCTTAAACATTTGAGATGTGTTATCCCTAAAGTCTAGTAGACTACACTCTTTAGGGCCAAATTTGACAACTTCCCTTTTCATGAGCTTGCACAATGCATGTTGAAAAATAATCTGATCTAGGTAATTACTATCTGAGAGGATGGCTATATTGCACCCTATTTCAGTATCAGGCTTGCATGGTGAACACATGGCTCAAGTCCAGTTTACAAGGTTGTCAATTTTGTGTGTGACACTGTGGGAATCCTATGGTGTAAATTGAGCAATGAAGATATGTTTGTGGTAGAGAGCACCCTGACCAGTTTCTCAACTAGGACACCAAAGGAAGTGAGCTTATTTGACTACAACATTTCAAAAGATGAATTTGTGCATAGGATAGAGCCGTTGAGACAAGTAAGGAAATTTTAGATGCAGCTGCGAAGTCAAACAATTCAACTTCTCAAACGTTTCATCTATATATTGGAAATATATGTGGGGTAGCAGTTTGGGTATCATTCGTTTGATATGTTTCTAATGAAAGCCAACAAAGATGTTTGCGAGAATTGGGTCCAGGAAAGAACTGGGACCGCCATATTTGGTGCTTTTAAAACTGAACTCATAGAATTGCTACAGTGTGGAAACAGGCCCTTCAGCCCAACAAGTCCACACCAACCCTCAGAGCATCCCACCTGGACCCAACCCTCTATAACCCACCTAATCTACACAGCACTGAACACTCTGGGCAGTTTAACTTGGCAAGTCCACCTAACCTGCACATCTTTGGACTGTGGGAGGAAACCGGAGCATCCAGAGGAAACCCACACAGACATGGGGAGAAAGTGCAAACTCCCCACAGACAGTCGCCCGAGGGTGGAATCAAACCTGGGTTCCTGGCGCTGTGAGGCAGCAGTGCTAACCACTGTGCCATCGTGCTGCCCTTTTTCCCCCTAAGTAACAACATCACCAACCCCCCCCCCCCCCCCCAAAAAAAACAGTGCAAATTGCTATGATATAGGATACAGTGCAAATGTCCATGGCTTCTTTGTTAAATTGGCTAGCAATGTCATATAAGGACTGACAGTGCAATAATGCATCTATATTAGATGTGATTCTGTGATTGGGAAGTATTTGCTAAACAATTGAGTGCATGAAGAATTATGCTGACAACCAACTTAAGATTGTCATTCAGTAAGTTTATTGCAGATTGCCACAGTATGGTGCATCTGCTTGTATTGGAAACTATAAAAATTAATATGCACGGCCTGTTGTTTGCAGACAAAGAGCAAATATACACTACCTGCTTCAACACAACAAGACATGATGGGCACTCTGGCTCATTCCTCATCGTGTTGGCTTGACCAATCAGTCAAAGTGTCTTGTTTCAAATTTATACAAAGCCTAGCAGTTAAATATACATTATCAATGGTACATTCTGTATGGAAGTGACTCTGCCAATCAGAATCAACTTAAACCAATCAATATCTTTCTGTTACAGCGTAAATAATGTTTTACCTTTGTATCGGTATTCTTGCAAATTGTCCTAATGACTGCAAAATGAAATGCTTAAATAATCTCTTTCTTCCTCGATGAAATAGCAAGACCGAAATAAATATAGTATTAACACACATTTCATTCACACCTGGATAGCAAAGAGCCAACCTAAGTGTTAATATTTTCGTTGAATGTAAATATCAAATTATATATTGGCAACAACTGCTTCTGGCACTGCTCTGATCTTGATGTTGTGACGTACATTTGCTGGGAGACTCCGCTTTAGGGTGGTCGATCATATCTAGAGTATTCTATCTGGCTGTGCTATTTTCAGGAGAGTCTAAGTATGTGAGACTTGCCTGAAAATAGCACAGGCATATCTTCTTGTGTGTGCAAGCAGCTGGCTAAATGTACAGTATATATTTACCGTTAAGAGCTCTTAAATGCTGAGATTTGGAAAGGATTGTTTGTAAATTAGGACTTGTTGCTTTTAAAAATGTTGTTCTAGAATCGGTTTTGATCTGCTCTTTTTGTCATTTTTGAAGCTTTAAGAAAATCTGTCCAGTTGAAACTGTTTATGGCATGTTCCTCAGAAGTATAGCACCAGACAGAATACTTGTCTACAGCTACTAATATTCGCTATTACAATTTACTATGTAAGGATATACTATTACATTTTGATGTACTTTGGCAGTTGTACCAAAAGTGCGCCTGTCTTGTAGTTAATTGTAATTGTGTTAAATGGAGCTCCAAATGTCTTTAGTTCTGTCAGCTTATCTGATATACAATACATTATTTTAGTAACAGGAAATTAATGCATATTTCATTGACCTTTCTCTCTCAGATCACTCTGTGTCACAGCCAATCATGGTGCAGAGACGTCCTGGTCAAGGTTTTCATGGCAGTAACGAGGTCAACTCTGTCTTGTCTCCACGGTCTGAAAGTGGAGGTCTGGGTGTCAGCATGGTAGAATATGTGCTGAGCTCTTCTCCTGGGGAAAAACTGGAGTCTTGCCTCAGAAAAGGACCATTTGTAAGTATTGAAAGTATTTTGCTTTGTGATAACACTGATACTCTAGCCATGGAGAGAAGAGAAACCACACAGTTTAACCGGCAACTTTAATGATGTACATTGTGGTTTTTATGCCACTCTGTTATTTTGTCAACTCCCATTAGTCTCAGCACTATCATTAATGCTGCTCTCTAGTGTTGTGTAGTTCAAATTGCTCACTAAGTACAACCCAAATTTGAAAGTGCCTGTTTTGAGGTTATACAGGGTAGTGTCAGTTATGCCACTAGTTCAAGTATAAGCTGTTCTGACTCTACATTTAATCCTTGGTACTAGTCCAACCTCTGTAGTGTGATGGACATTCAGTGGTAACTCAGTCAAGTGACCACTATTCATATATGAACGTTAATAACAAGTGCTGGTCAGCTACTTAATGAAAGAGAAAATCACTCGTGCAGCTTTGCCTTACATGATATCCACCATTTCATGGATACCTTTCCAGTGTGGGTTTCTATGTAATGGATTGGAACAGAAACCATTGCTAATTCCCTGGTCCATATTCTCACTGTACCTTCTCAAGCTAGGACCATCTAAAACCTTCATGGTCTGTATGGCTTACTGAATGGGCAGTTTCTGAACCTCTCCAAATCAATTGTTCTGTAATATGTAAATTTAATGTGCAATGAGTAGGCCTTTGCACTTAGTCGCTGAAATACTGATTTTCTTTTTGGCTATCTTTTCCATTGGTGACAATATTGAAAGCTGTGACTTATTAGTTGAGCCACTCTTGATACTCCTAGCTTGGTTTTACCAATGCATATACTTGGTTTTTCCTCTGTTTAATGTTGATGCTATTTAGAGGCTACTTGTTGCACCTTGTTATGGGACTGTTGAAACTTCAGTGAAAAGTAATGATATGTGCAGTTTCTCAGCTATGTTCTGCCTGTTTAAACCTATGAATGTCCAGATACAGCTCTTTATCTTCAATAAAAGTTCTTTCCCTGTTTCTTCCCAAACCCTCTCCTTTACCAATCTGTACAGGGTTCAGGAGATGCTGAGACTCATAATGAAAAGGGAGACAAGAAAGGAAAATCTTCGTTTGACGGGGATAAGATGGGAGACCTGAAGGAAGTGGAGGATGATGGGATTGATAAAACAAATGGTCTGGTGGTACAAAACGGCATTGATGCTGATGTTAAGGACTTCAGGTATGTAGCAAAGTTACAGCGCACCTCTTTCATAAGACAGCCTTAAAAGCTTTTATCAAAAATATAATGTGTTACACAGTAGGTTTAAAAGGATATTTGCTCTATTATGATTGTGACCCCTTTTCACTTTGAACCAATATCAGAGAGTTCTTGTACATTAGTACCAGAAACAAAATATTACAGCAGACAGTAGTTCGTTTTGTCCAAAAGCTTGATCCATGCACCAGAGCTATTACAAGAACGATAGATTAATATTACATGACTTTCCATACGTTATCCAGTACAACACCTTCGTGACAGATAGTAAAATTTCTTGACAAGTATGCAGATGTTAAATCAGGTCATGTCCTTGCACCAGCTTTCCCATTTCCCACTTAACGAAAAAAGGCCATGGCCTTCAAACATCTAAAAAAAACTTGAGTATGCAATTGATTGTAGAGGATGTGGCTAACGAAAAGAATGCCAACACGTGGTTACAATCAATAGCAATCACATTATCGTGAGAGATTTAAATGCACATTAGCAGTCAAGGAAAAAAATGAGTGCAGTATACTTCATATATGCAGGGGGTGTGGTCTACTCTGTATACAATGATAGCTGAGCAAGAATGCCTTTAAAGATCAGGATTTTGAGGGGAACTGTGTTTTTTTGCATGACGAGCAATTGCCAGATCCAACCGTGACAGCTTTTGCTGAGCTATTCGTTATACATGTCCAAAACGTTTCTATCTTCCAAATTTACATCCAGTCTATGAAAGCAAAATGAATGAAATACAAAGTTGGCTAAGGGCACTTTGGGCATTTTCGGCTGTGTGCTCGAAGATATCGAGGCAATGGAGCAGTTGCAGAACAGATTTGCTAGCTCGTTGCCCAATATCAGGACGTATAAATCTGACCAAAGAGTCGGCAGGGGGCCTGGGGAATGTGGCTGTTTCCGTTAGAACAGAGGAGACTGAGACTATTGTAAGCACCAGGTCCTGACCAGCCAAAAGGATCATCTCAGCGAATCCTGTGGAACGGGTCCATTGAGCTATTTTCCTTCTGCCCCAAGCATCCATGGGTTTTTTTCTATGTCTTCATTTATGTATGGGGCAGTCTTAAGTCATGCTAGAATTTTAATGAGTAGTTATATGTTAACAGTTCACAATTGCTTAACTGTAGCAGGAATCCATTTACTTGTTATAAATAGCAATTCTAAAGTATGGAAACCTGGTCCATGCTTTCTGTCAACTCGAGTTGTAACAGGTAAATTGGGAAATTTTGAGTACTCTTCTAAAATCTTTAAACTTTTGTAACAACCTTAGGAATAGTGAGGCTTGATTTCCAGCCAGGCTATCCCAGTGATGTGTAACAAGAAGACTAAACTTTCACTGATGCAAAAGTGACAAGAGGTTTGTTCATGTCATAAGTATTTGTTAAGTGCAGTATTTTTTCCATTCATTGATTTGTTCATCAGTGAAGCTAAACATTGTATTCAAGCATGTATCTCTAGCTTTTTGTTGGATTTTTTCAATGAGTATGGATGATTTACTTCTCTCTCCAGTTATTGGCACTTCAGTTTAAGCTGAGAGGAGGAGGTCCAAGTTGTGCATTGTGTGTTGAGCAGTTGTAATATTTTAAATACTCCTGTACATTTACAGTTCAAGCTTTACTTAGCAAGGAATAGAGGAGTAAAACGCTCAGTACTGCAGTGTACCCACTAGTGTCACAAGTAACTTCATTTGGTCTTTTGAGAGAGATTGGGAAACATCTCTTCACTTAAAGGATTATACAGGTCTGGAACTCTCTCAGAAGCAGCAGATACTTGCTTCATTAATAATTTTACTGATTTTTGTTTCCTTTAATCCTTGGTCTGAAGGGTTTCAGATTCAGATTGGGAATGACTTTCGTAAATGATGGAACAATCTTGAGAGATTGCACAGCTTAATGCTGTTACTGTGGTTGTTTTATTCATTCGTAGGATGTAGCATCACAGGCGGGGCTGGCATTTATTACCCATTCCTTTTGGCCTTTGAAGATGTAGGTGTGCTGCCATAGTCCATGTGTATATACATCACCAGCACTGTTTGGGCTGGAGTTCCAGAATTTGGGCAAGTGACTTTGCATTATGGGTGACTGTAGTTCAAAATGAGGATGTTGTGTGGCTGGTAGGGTTACTTCCATCTGGTGGTGCTCCTACCGTGTCTGCTTTCTTAAAAAAAGAAATTGGGTTATGTAGTTTGGAAATGTTGTTTGAGGAGTTCCTGAGTTGTTGTAGTGCAATTTGTTGATGCTGCACAAACTACCTCTTTGCACTTGGCAGAGGGCATGAATTTTGGTCGTGAATGAGGTGCCACCCAAGTGGACTGCATTGTCTTGGATGGTGTTAGGCCTTTTGAATGTTGGAGCTGCAGTAATCCAGGCAAGTGGAGAATATTCCACAATGATCATGAATTGTGCCTTGCAGTTGGTGGACAGGCTTTGTGAAGTAACTCACCATAGAATTCCCAGTCTTTGATTGTTTTTTAAGATGCAATGTTTATGTAATTGGTCCAGTTAACTTTCTGATCAGTGGTAATTCCCAAGAAGTTGGTTGTGAGGGATTTTGTGATGATAATGGCATTATCAATGAGAGCTTGGGTACATCCTGTCCTATCGGAGATGGTACATGTGTGACACTAATGTTACTTGCTCCTTAGGTTGACTGTTGTCAGGTCTTTCTCCATGTGGACATTGCCTGCTGCAGCACCTTGGGAATTGTAAATGATGCTGGGCACTGTGAAAGTCAATGAGCATCCCATCTTCTGACCTTTTGAAGGGAAAGTGTTGAAGCGAGTGAAAGTGATTGGGCACTGAAGTACAAATTGTACTCTGGGTGAGTGACTTCAATGTCTATCACGAAGAGTAGCTCAGTAGCACCACTACTGACTGCAGCCTAGGTCTAAAGGATATAGCTGCTTCATTAGGTGTGTGGCAAATGATAGGGAAGAAAATCTACTTGACCCCGTCCTCGCCAAGTCTGCCTTTTGCGGATGCATCTGTCCATGAAAGTGTCAGCAGGAGCAACCACCGCACAGTCATTTGAGGCAGCGAAGTGCTGTCTTCACAATAGATTCTGTCTATCGTGTTGTCACACTACGTGTACTAAATGGTACAGACACAAAACAGATCTGGCAAACTTGGGCATCAATGAGGCACAGTGGACCATCAGCAGGAATAGCATTGATTTCAACCACAATCTAACTACATGGCCTGATATATCTCCCTGCTGTACAGTTATTATCAAGCCTGTTCAATGAAGGATGCACGGGGGTGTGCTAGGAACAGTGCTACGCATACTTAAAAATGAGCCGCTAACTTGGTAAAGCTACAATTCAAGATTGTTTGCATGCCGAATGGCAGGTGCAGCATGCAATAAATAGGGCTAAGCAAACCCTCAACCAGTGGATCAGATCTAACCACTGTAGTACTACCACACGTAGTTATGATGGAGGTGGACCATTTAAAGCAAACAGGAGTTGGAGGTTCCACCAAGGTACTCTTCCTCGATGATGGGGGAGTCCAGCATATCAGTACAAAAGAGGAGGCCGAAGCGTTTGCATCCATTTTCTGCCAGAAGTGCCAAGCGGGTTACCCATCTTGGCCTCCTCCTGAGTTCCCAAGCATCAAAGATAACAGTCTTCGACCAATTCGATTTACTCCACAAGTTGTCAAGAAACGCCTGAAGACATTGGATGCTGCAAAGACTGTAGGTCCTGTTCATATTCTAGCAATAGTACTGAAGATTTGTGCTTCAGAGGTAGCTGTGCCTCTAGCCAAGCTGTTCCAATGCAGCAATTACATTTGCAGCTACCCGGCAATGTGCAAACTACCTATGTATCTCCTGTCCATGAAACCAGGACAAATCCAACCTGCACACCTTCTGCCATTATCGGTCTGCTTTCGGTCACTAGCAAAATTATGGAAAGAGACATCAACAGTGCCGAGTTTGGTGCTGGGTCCCTTGCTGTTTGTGGTGTACATTAATGATTTAGACATGAATATAAGAGGTATTAATTAATAAGTTTGCGGATTGCGGAATAATTTGTAGTGTGACAAATAAGAACATAAAAACATAAGAACTAGGAGCAGGAGTAGGCCATCTGGCCCCTCGAGCCTGCCCCGCCATTTAATAAGATCATGGCTGATCTTTTTGAGACTCAGCTCCACTTACCCGCCCACTCACCATAACCCTTAATTCCTTTACTGTTCAAAAATTTATCTAGCCTTGCCTTAAACACATTCAGCGAGGTAGCTTCAACCACTTCACTGGGCAGGGAATTCCACAGATTCACAACCCTTTGGGTGAAGTTCCTCCTGACCTCAGTCCTACATCTGCTTCCCTTTATTTTGAGGCGATGCCCTCTAGTCCTAGTTTCACCTGCCAGTGGAAACAACCTCCCTGCCTCCACCTTATCTATTCCCTTCATAATCTTATATGTTTCTATAAGATCTCCCCTCATTCTTCTGAATTCCAATGAGTGTAATCCCAGTCTACTCAGTCTCTCCTCATAATCCAACCCTCTCAACTCTGGAATCAACCGAGTGAATCTCCTCTGTACCCGCTCCAGTGCTAGTATATCTCTTCTCAAGTAAGGAGACCAAAACTGCACACAGTGCTCCAGGTGTGGCCTCACCAGGACCCTATACAGCTGCAGCATAGCCTCCCTGTTTTTAAACTCCATCCCTCTAGCAATGGCAGACAAAATTCCATTTGCTTTTTTAATTACCTGCTGCACCTTCAATCCTACTTTTAGCAATTCATGCACAAGGACACCCAAGTCCCTCTGCACAGCAGCGTGCTGCAATTTTTTACCATTTAAAACATAGTCCATTTTCCTGTTATTCCTACCAAAATGAATGACCTCACACTTATCAACATTGTACTCCATCTGCCAGACCTTTGCCCACTCACTTAGACTACTGTATCCCTCTGCAGACTTTGTGTCTTCTGCACACTTTGCTCTACCACTCACCTTAGTG